AAGACTCTAAACCGAATTCAACGTGGAGTAAGTATATCTTGGTTTTGGAATTTGCCATAACGTTTATGTGGATATTCCTGGTATCATGGTATTAATTATATCCTGTCTAGATAAACTAGATATGAGTGGCTTTCTGAGAAACCTGAACTAGAACATATTAATCCTACCTACATAATCTGTGTGCTTTGTCTTATTTTGTTGAAGTACGATCCCTTAAGTGCCAATTAGCATTACTTGTACCCTAGATTTGATTTTATCTACTTTAGTAGTCTTGTTCCTTATATTTTGGTCTTCCTTCTTCCTTCACATAAATCTTGTGTGCTTTCACGATTATGTCATGATTCTTCTGACAAATATTCATCTTTAATGAAATGCAAGTCAATTAAATCCCTGAAGCCTTAGCAGGAGATGATTTTTTTGGAAACTATTAGGCATGTTAACATGGTGCTGGTACTCATTTAATGTTTATTTTTGCTTGATAACATCTTTCTCCTACTAGCAAGTAGCAATGCTGTGTAGTGTTATTAGGATAAAGATATTAGCATGGTGCTGGTCGCACTTCCCTCAATAGATATCAATGATCCTGGGAGCATCAATTTATATTTTGATTCCAATTTTGTGCAGTTTGCCTTTTGTACGTGGGTGGCACTCCCAGTGTGGCATTGTTTATAAAAACATCTATGTTGTACTAAAAAGATTATGTAGATATCTACAGATGTACTTGGAATCTGCCATGCATTGTTTCTCATTCTTGTACACGGATGAGTTAATGCCCTTGTCCTAAAGTTACTTCTTTTTGTTTTGATCGATCTAGGGCATCCATCCATCAATTAGAGGAGAAGTTTGGGAATTCCTACTTGGTTGTTATGATTCCAAGAGTACATTTGATGAAAGAGAGCAAGTACGGCAACGTAGAAGGTAGTACATTTTCCTGCTTTATTGCTCAGCATATTTTGGAACTATAAAATATGGTGCACTGAGTTCGTAACACATGGTTGGCAACTAACTGGCGAATGGGATAGAATCTCTAGTTTCATATTTTAGAGTCTTTTTATCAAAATTTGAATACATTCAGTGTTCCCAAAAGCATATTTCCATATGGTAGTAGCAATAATATTAATAACAACGTTAGTTTAGGAATGCTACCTTCCCTCTTACCCAGATCTTCCAATTGAAAACAAACAGCATCATTGTATTAAGTACTATTAGGACAGACAGCTGTTTTCTTTTTCCCTAAAACAAATTTAAAGATAGCAATGTGTATTGCATTACTCAGATAGAGGAGGAAAAAGACCTATTTACAACTAATTGAGTCAACCCAAAAAAGTAAGCTTCTATTTCAGGCTTTACAACAAACTGGTGCCAACAAACTCTAACCCAAAAAACCTGTTTAGTTGTTATACTTTTAACAACTGCTACATTCTCATCATTCGCGATTTAGAAGTTGAAATCTTTACTCTGCTTTCTTACCATATGAGGTGGTTGTAAAATTTTTTGCTATCTCTTCACCTTCAGGATGCAATATGCAACATGGAAGGATGAGTGTCAGCAAATGTTTCCTGTTGTTGGAAGTGGCAAATTTATTACTGCTCCTGTAATCACTGAAGATGGTCAACCCATTCAAGATCCTGTAGTACTTTTAGAAACAAATCAAAATCCAGGTAAGGGCTTCGTTTGACTTCTTCTCCTTTGATGAGCTTTATGCTGAAACTGACAAAAAATATTAACGTAAAAGTGATTCACCAGGTGTAAACAATTCCAATGGTTCGGAAATGGTGAAGGAGCTTACTAGTCGTGGACCTTTGGACAAGAAAATAATCCAGTGGATGCTCACACTACATCAAATAGGTTGATTGCATTCTCTAATTTCATGTCTATATCTGCCTCTGTTACTCTGGAAGTTTTTACCCCTCTTTCCTAATATTCTGTTTTCTTATGCACTTTTGAATTTGATTAGCATAATGCTGCAAGGACACATGCAATAGTCATGTCTTCAGTCAGAAAAAATGATTGATGAATGCTGATCGCTCCTGATTGTCTATTTACTGTGTTTGAATGACATTGTCACGTTCTCATAAAAGTTCTCTATTTTTATTGATATTGAGTTTATTTCAAAATCCAATTTCATTGAATAAGAGTTGCAATAAAATACGAATATAATAGACATTTTGGATGGATATAACATTTAATATTAAGTCAATTTGATATTTAATTCAAGTTAGGTTTCTTTGTAATTTCGTCCTTGAGAGGTGAGAATACAGATCCATTTTGGTGTTAATTAAGGATATAAGGGAAGTCGATTCAATTATGCATCAAATGCATAAATTATGATTAACTTTTATGTGTGAACAACTAATATTTAGAAATTGAATGAGAATAAAATAAGTCAACCAAATGCAATGTGATTGTTCTGACTTAACATTTTGTAACTCTTCCATTCTTTTGCATGCAGATGTTGGTAGTTTGAAATCTTGTTTTTTGGTCATGGAATCATCTAATTCTAAGTTCTATATTTTTCTTAATGGCTTGTGGTCTTTTTCTTATTTGTTCTAGGACTTGACGTCATCCGCACAGACAGGACACTGGTCTTCTATGAGAAGCAGGAGAACTTGTCAAAATTATGGGATATTCTAGCAGTTTATGCTTGGATAGATAAAGATGTTGGCTATTGTCAAGGTGGTTATAGTTTCTTACATGCCCATGCTTCTCGGTGTCTTCTTAGTCTTGGAAGTTACAGAATCCTTAGTATTCTATATTATTTTTATGATTTTTAAGTGTGTTCTGTAAATTGTTCCGAGCAGGAATGAGCGATTTATGTTCTCCCATGATAATTCTTCTTGATGATGAAGCTGATGCATTTTGGTGCTTTGAACGTTTGATGCGTAGATTGGTAACTCCTTTACTTTTTCATTATAGCTTTTCATGTGAAGAAATATAATTTTCCTGCTTTATATAAAACTTTTTCTTTATCAGTGATTCCTCATAATTTTTTTTTTTAATCTTTGGAGGATCCCTGAAGAACTCTTGCATGTAATAGTAATTAGAGTGCTATATATAAATATCATGCTTTTCCTTTTCTTCCCTTTTCCCTTATTGTGGAGAATTGTGGATGCCTCTCTGTCCATCCATCAGGGATCTATTTCACATTTGAAACCACACCATTTTGTGGCTTCAGTATATTTACTAGGAGTTAAGGCTCATACTTTATAATGCTTTGACATGTGAATTTGATTATTTATATGATACGGTACTGTTTTAGGAGATCTGCTAAATTATTAAAACATCTGATATTTACACCTATTTTCTGTTCGTTTGAATTAGTCAGCTTCTTTGTATTCTTGAGTATTAAGGTCCCCAGTTATGTTCACAAAAGAGATGGAGAAACAGGGTCATACACCTTCACCTAATAAGTCAGCAATTAATTGCCTAAAAAATGTGAGAATATTTGAATCAGTTGCACTAAAACCACCAAGATGGTTGGAAAAAAGCTTCTTGTAGATTTAACTTTTCCAGTTAAATGACTCACATGGACATGTGTTTTTTGCAGAGATTTTTGGTTAGCTTTTTCTTTACCATTTTTCTGTTCTTCTAGAAAACCTACATCAGAATCTTTCTTTTCTTTCCTCCTGTGTTATATGCAAAAAATGATTCTTTCAATTGACCCTTTTTTTGTTTGATTGTTCTTATTTTCAACTGTTTCTAGTTTCTCATGACATATTACTATTTAACATCTTAAAGCGAGGAAACTTCAGATGCACCGAGAGCTCTGTTGGCGTGGAAGCACAGCTTAGTAATCTGGCCGAAATTACTCAAGTTATTGATCCAAAACTTCATCAGCATTTAGGTATTTCTTGAAGTTTATATTTGGTATATAGTTAAGCACTTATCTCTCCACAGTTCATATATTAATTAATATATCCCTAGTGGTAGAGACCTGAAAAGTCTCTGTTGGGATAGGTGTGGAGTGTTGTAGCTGTAAGGATATTATGATTAGCTGGAGGCAGACTCGAGGATTATTATTCTAGATTTATTACATGGAAGAAAATCATCCTGTAATATGGCATTAGGTTCCTTGACATTAAAAGCAGGTCGTGCCAATTCATGTCCTATACGGGAAAAGAAAAATGATACTTTTTCTTTTTTTAGAGGAAACATGGAACTTTTATTAATAGAGAAAGATACAACACAACATGAAAAGCTCAATACTGTTTTTACCAATGGCCCAAAAACCCCAAAACAAATACAAAAGTGCCTAGAAAGAAAGAAGAATGCATTTCTTGCAATCACAAAAAAAAAAGAAAAGGAGCATGGTTGTTGAGTGACGTGCTCTCTGTTTTTCATGGAACATTTTCCTCTGCCTGTCGAACAAGCAGGCTCGTCTATATTGTCAAATATCAGTTATGAATATAACAACTTCATCTTTTGAACTTCATATGTGGCAATAATTTCATTACTTGGTTTACATTTCTTTATATCATGGTTCCATAAGGAATGTAATGATTTTGTATTTTGAACTTGGATCACAGAGACACTAGGAGGAGGTGACTATCTATTTGCTTTCCGAATGCTAATGGTTCTGTTCCGTCGAGAGTTCTCATTTTGTGACTCATTGTATCTTTGGGAGGTATATCAGATTGCCTTTGCATGATTTTAATTGCGTCTAAAAATATGTTAGAAGGCTATCTGTTTTGCATGATATTACCAGAATAATATCTTGAAGATATTATGCAACAGTATAGTACCATAACAAAGCAAAAAGGTTTTTTTATTTGTTAATTCGTTATCTGAGATGCATCTATCGGCAAACAAAACCCACCAATTTGATATTTGGATGCCTTAAGTTGATCATAGGACCAAATGAACACTATTTAATCTAACATTGAAAACCACACATCTATTTAAGAAAAGGAATTAAGCTCTTCTAAGTTTTAAACTTGTACCAAATACGTATTACTTTTGTCGTCATTGTCCTTCAGTTTTCACGCTTTCGAAGTTCGTTTACACTTGATATTCTCTATAGTTTGAACTTGTTAACAGATGATGTGGGCCCTGAATACGACCTGATTTGTTCTTCATGTATGAAGAGCTGAATTGGCTAGTGACAAAGCTGAGGGATCTAAAGGCAAGCCAAAGTCAATACGCCAGTGTGGGAAGTTTGAGAGAGAAAATATGAAAAACGGAAAGAATGCCGAAGCCCCTCTCCCCATTTCTGTTTTCCTTGTTGCCAGTGTCTTGAAAGATAAGAGCTCCAAGCTAATGCAAGAAGCTAGAGGCCTGGATGATGTAGTTAAGGTCAGTTGACAAGTTCATGCTTTATGACTACTTTATGGTTTATAGGAACACAGTATGACAGAGTTAATTGCGGTCTCTGCAACAGGAGGAAAAAATACTTGGAAGATTCATCTAATACTGAAATTAGACTGTTTAGCTTTAGATATCCCTGAAACTTAACATGATTAGAACATAGTTTGATAACATTTTTTCTTTCTTTTTCTCTCATTTCATGCATCAGTAAGCAATCCCAGAAACTACAGCAATAAGGTAACTCCCACAATAGGTTGGCAGTACCTTTCAACTTGAGTAGTTTAAAATTTCACGAAGTCCTGTAGAAAGAAGTATGAAACATATTTCTATAGTCTGATGCTTTGGAAAAGCTTTCTTTCCTGCATTAAATTGATCTTAACAATCGTGCAAATCGTTTGTGGCTCTCTGGGTCGTTACAGAAGCTTCTTAAGGTTTCTGCAATATTTAATCTACCCATATCTCATTATTTCTCTTTTTTCTTTTCTTTTACCTTTTTTAATACTTCTTCAGATATTGAATGACATAACTGGAAATTTAGATGCAAAAAAAGCTTGCACTGGGGCAATGAAACTTCACAAGAAGTATTTGAAAAAGGTATTATCCTAAATCTCGATCTTCCATTTAACATTTCCTCTTTTTACATTCATTCAGTTAAATTCTTATAAACGTGCTTGAGCTAGAAACCAACTCTTAGATTTTTTCTTAGTCAAGACTCAAGAGAAGTTCTCCCTGTTGTTACTTAAGCGAAAAATTTTATCTGTTGTCACCAGGCGAAGAAGCCATAGAATTGGATCGTGTTCATGGATATATTTGGCTCAAGTCAGGAAATCACGGGATGCTTTTCGCGAACTGTGACTTGATTTATCACAACCAGATAATTTACTTCCCCCATAATTTTTGGCCTGGAGATGAGATAGTTGTACAATAGAGATGACCAGAAAATGCTCATCAAGAACTCTGTTATATATAAAAAAAAAATGAATCAACCCCATTATTCATTATTCCAAAGGATCCTTTGGAAATCTCATATATGAATTAAAATTGTATTTTTATGTTCCTGTTGTTGTAAGTCTTCAATGAAACAAAAAAAGAAAAAAGAAAAACAGACGAATGATTAGTGCATATAACTTGACCTATTTGTCTATGTACTTCAATTTCTTTCCAAATCTATGCTGATGATAATATAAATTTAGTATCAGAGAAAAAAATAATTAAGTCATGAAATCATAATTTTTAATCTTTTTTTTTTTTCCCAATACCTGATACTATTTAACTTATAAAAATATTTTAATACATAATTTTTTCACAAAATTTTGACAAATTATTTTTATTTTTTGTATTTTATTTTATGTAAAATTTAAAAGTTTATAATAGCTAAAAATTAATCTACTAAACTTAACAAAAAACAATTAATTTATTTTATTTGAGTTACAATAATAAATTCAACAGTTATTAAGAGACAAAAAAAAAAAATTATGCAATAACTATTTTTTTTTTAATAATTTTTAAATTAAAAAAACTATTATTTTTTTAATTATTCTTTACATCACCTAAATTAAAAAAAAAAAAAAAGAGAAACTTTGGCTTTCTTTATAAAAAAGTTTCTTAAGAAATCATAATTTAAAATAATCTTATAAATTAAATAACCTAATTATAAAACAATAATTGTAATGAATATATTAAATAACCCATAACTAAAGAATGAAATAAGCAATTTATGCTTCTAAACTATTTTGTTTTTTGGGTTTCAGATTTTGGACATTTAATCTCTGTCCTCTTACCATGCAATATATATATATATATATATATATATTACTTTATAATTCCTATTATGCAGAAACACAGAAAACTTTTGAGTAATTGTTTAAGAGATATGAAATACGCCTGTAGAGTTTCTGGCTGGACAGATTGGAGTCCCCTGATACTATTTATATTAGTTCTAATAGTTTTTGTTTTAATGTATATTAATTCTAAAAAGTTTGAAATAATAAAACGATGTATCCATACCTCTTACCAAATTATGATGTATTTATACATTTCATATGTGGTAACATTTTACTGTTTAATTTAATACATACACATTTTAATTTATATATACATTTATTATGATCGTATCAATAGATATATTATAATTTTTTAATTCAAAGTTCACTAGTATGAATATAGAAGAGGATTATAAGCTAACAATAAACCCAATTAATTAGCTTGTTCAATAATAGAATTTTTCTACTTAATTACTATAAGTATTATTATTTAATTAAAAAATTATGAAACTTAAATCTAAAATATTTAACAATGTGCGCTCATAAAATCTTCCAACTTAAAACTTTTTTCTTCTTTATAAATTCTTCATGCAAAAATTAAAAATTATTAGATTGAAAAGACAAAAAAAGAGAAGTAAAAGAAAAAAAAAATGAATAAATTCCTTCTTGATTAGAAGGTAATTCTATACTAAAGAAAAAAAATTACTAATACCCTTCGTACTAATCAAATTACATTTGAGAAACCAGACATTATGCAGATAATAATCAATATCATACCTTTTGCATATAATATATTAGCTACTAGTTATTATAGCTTATAATTTCTTTTCCTTTTTTCATACAAATTATCATCATCATAACGCCTGCTTCCAAGTCTCATTTACTCCTTATGCATTCTCCTCACCATCTGTCGACAGCCATGTTTAATCACAAACTCTTCAAGCCAAGCTTCAAAATCATGGCTTCCAAACACCCAAAATCATCATACTCATCATCTGCAATTCGCCCCTTTCGCGTAGAAATCATCATCTTCTTGCCACTGACAGGAGACAACTGTGTAAGCAAGGGAGAATTCAAAAGAAAAAGATGTAGTAGTTTTTTATATAACTGAAAAATCTAATCAAGAAAAAGGAGCATATATTAATTCTCACCAAACTACTCCCTACAATGACGAACAGAACATAATTGTAAATCACCCTCTTGGGTGATTTGATTATAAGTGGAAGTAATCTGTGATTAGCAGGAAAGTAAGAGTGGCGACGAAGATAGCAGACAAGAAGGTGAAGCTTGATTTATGGCCTGCGTTTTTCTTAGGAAAATGCTTTGGCAGAGCACATTCTTCGCCATTAAAGAATACTCTTTTGGGGAAACCATCGCCGCCGATGATATTCAGGCCCCGTATGTTCTTCTTAGTGAAAGAAATCACAGACTGCTGCTTTCCCGGAACCGGCGGGTCCTTTTTCGGGTCAGTGCCATTAACCTGACCCGCCAAGTAGTTCAACCCCTTCAATCCTTGGAAGAAGATGGTCTGATTATTCTTCCCTATTCTGGTTCCATTAAAGGAGTAAACATTTTCATAACCAAGACCAGCTTTACCCACGTCGATTGCTGTAAACCAGTCCTCAAATGGGACATCCTTCCAGTTAAAGATGGTGACACGAGCTGTCCATCCATTGTTGTAATCAGAGTTGACGTGCCAGTTTATGCTAACTCCACAATTATCAGGACATGGCAGTTTCTTAGGGATAGGTCTGTGTTTCTGTTTCGCCCAAGCTCTAGCTTTTAACGTCCTGTTTGCGAAAGGAACAAGAAGAGCATCAGGAGGAAGAAGCATCGGGTTGGCATTAGCGTTGCAGGTGTCAGTTTGATCTTCATTGCACCCACAGGCGCAGGAGTTGCAGGGAATGGCGGAATCGTTGTAATAGGCGGAGAAGGAGACGCAGCATCTTGCAGCTTTTTCTTTAGGTTTTGTAATGTTACAGACAACTTGCCAGGTCGCGACTGCAAAGGAGGTAGCTTGAAGACCAGACGGATCAGGAAATGGAGTCGGGTCGACCCTAATCGGCGGGCCACATTTGTACTGTGGATTCAATACGCCGTCGATTTTCCATTTCTGTGGAGGGTAAAAAGCAGTTCTGTTCATATCAGGAGGGAGCTTGTAAACCTGTAACTGGAAAATTGACCTGGATTTCCATGGATCCATCTGGGTTGGAAGCAAAGTGCCGTTTTTACAACAGTAAGGTAATTTGCCAATCTTATCGTCGTTTTCTCGATCGGCAGGGAGATCGTAGATGGTGGGTTTCTTCTCACAATTCATGATTTGAGAAAAGTCTAAGTCTTTGTAGAATTGGCCGGCTTTTCCATAAAGGCATTCGGAAGGGTCTTTCCGGTGGGTATAAGCTCCTCTCATGGTGGAAATGAACTCTCCTCGCATCCATTCCCATGTGAGATTCCAATGGTCAAGACGGCCTAATGGATTGTTGTTGTCTATGGTGACCTGCGCGAGGTAGTTGCCGCCGTAGGTTTGGAGGATGTCGTAGACCATGTTCAGATCGCCGTATTGTCGAGGCAGGAACTTTGTTTTTGGCACCGGTTTTGTTTTGAGTTTAGGGTTCTTCTTGCAACATACGTGCATGTTGCCTCCTGCAAAATTTAAAGGTAATTATTTTTTTGCATGCATGCAAAAGTAAATAAAAAGGTAAAAAAAATTTGTTGGTGTGACTTGATTTTAAAAATATATTGCATATAGTTTAGAGAACATTATATATATATATATATATATTCTGAAAATATTTTGAAAAAAAAATTCACATTTTATTTATATAATAATTTATAATCTTATAACTGGTGCATTTTTTATTTTTATCATAATAAATTTTTTTTTTCGATTTTACTTGTGAATATAGACATTCTTAAAAAGCCATGTTAAATGTTATGTTTTTTTTTTAATTTTGTTTTTTTACTTTGTATGATTGTATCAATATTAAAAATTTATTTTTTAAAATAATTTTTCATAAAAATATATATTTATTTAATAAAATAATATATAGACACGTATCATAATATAACAAAAAATGCATAGAAAAACAGTATGACTCAGAAATTTAAATTTAAAAGAATGCAAAATTTAATGGTAATTACTCTTTTGAATGCATGTAAAAATAAATAAAAAATTGTACATTTATCTATTAAAATAATATATAAAGAAAAATTATAATATAACAAAAAATACACAGAAAAAGTGTGACTCAAAATCTAAATTTAAGAAAAGAAGGAGAAGAAGAAGTGGCTTACCATGTCTCTTGGGAGCAGGACACTGATATCCATCATTCGACAGCTTAATAGTTCTGGGCATAGGCGTGACAGACGGCTTAACCCCAAAAAGCGTACCAGTAATCTCAACAGTTGCGGAGATCTGAGTAAAGTCCCCGGCGGTATCAATGGCGGTCTTCAGATCACTCTGAGGGTAACCGGTAAATGTCGTACCATTACCGACGGAGACCGGTAAATCACCAGCATCGGCGGCAACAGCTCCATTAGCTGACACCAAAATCTCCCGGTGCTGGAACCCTATGAACATCTTCCATCCCTTGAGCTCTTCCGACCCGGCGTTCACTATCATGGCTGTGGCCTTAAACGCCCATGACTGCGCCGACACGTTCTTGACATGCGGGTATTCTCTCTCCTTTCCGGCGAAGTGTACGACAGGAATATCCCG